TTTTCAAAACCCACTGCCCTTGCAGCAAAATACGGGTAGTAGACTTCACTGTAAGAATAATTCAATTATGGAAAAGGCGAAAGCAAATAAGGATGTGTGTGTGGAAGGTTGAGTGAAGATGGAATAACCAGGATATAAATAGAACACTTTAAAAATAAAGAGATAATAATTTATCTTTTCTAAGGCTCACACAGGTCACTCTACGCAAAATAAGCATTAGGTTACCTATGGAGGATGATAGAAATCATTAACTGGATATCCAAGCTGGATGGCAGGGAGAAAAGAGTTCTAATATGCCCTTACCTGTTTTGTTTTGTTTTTTTCCTTTCTAGAAGTAGAGCTAGCTAAAAATCAGCTTCTATCTCAGAGACCCTGATATTAGATATGGGACTGAAAGAACTAGAAACACAGCAGGACAAGACAACACTATGTAATGGTCCTAACAGCCTCAGTATAAACATTAAAAACCTAGAAAACCATGGATATTGGTTTCCCCACTCTTCACTACAATTACTAGAAAGATCCTCAGAATAAAGTTCCCTTGCTTTCCTCCTAACAGCAACATGTCCTGCCTGCTCCCCTCTTCAACATACCAACACAATGTGGATGGTAGGGAGAAACAAGAACCATCTCAGCACAGCTGCCCCTGGGAAAATTGGTCACACACCACAGAATAAAGTTATTCCGTTAGGGCTAGGGACAAATACAAGGAAAGCTGATTATTATCGTTTTCCAAGGGTGATGCCCTCACTGTCCAAGTTAACTCTATAGAAAAAGGACAATAGTGTACTAGTTCATGGGCTGAGTCGGGCTTACAGTCCAAAGTCAGGAAGTCTGACCAAACTTCCCACACATCCTTATCTATACCCACAAGTGCACATCGCCTCATCATCCACAATCTCTGAGAAGCCATAGGAAGACTAAGAACAACATTAGGCTAGAAGTTTCCAGAGTCTGAGTCATCAACAAGCTGATACAAATGACTAGCAGAGCTTAATCAGTCAGTGGGCCTTTGGGAATCAAATGTGGGAAGCCTTGGAAGATATTTCCCTAACAACAGCTTTTAACACCATCTCTTCTGCCTTCACTGTGACATGACATGCTATACTTTTTGGTTTTTCCCTTCTGTTTATGCCAAAGGCAAGGGGCAAGATCTAAATGGAAAAGTAAAGAAAGATAAGCATGGGGAATCAGGGATATTCTACAAATAGCTTTCTTTACCAACCAACCCATAGGGTGGAAACTGAGGTCATTTCCCTTCCCCCCACCTGAAAACAACCACACTGTAAAGTTAATGGTTCTTTGGCTATGCTGGGGTTTGATTGAAAAGGCCACCCTCCACCCTTCATTCTCAACACAACATTGGCTCCTAGTGTCCAGAAAGACATGCACGGAAAGAACGCCAGAGTTAGCTAAAGAAATACCACAGTTTATTGAAGACTACAAATATTTTTGTTACAAGTTGAAACTACATGCCTTCCAGAAATCAAAAGCAACAGCAGGTGTGTGCATTGATGCTTCGGAGGTGCTGCACCGCTTGAACTCGAAATGGATAAGACAGGGTCTGACACATGGGGGAGAGGGAAATGGGGAAGGGCAAGCCCAGAAGGTATCCACCAACTCATTTCCCCAAGCCACGCAGGCATGGCCTCAGCTCAGCAGGCTCTCCTCAGTGGTCTGGTTTCTGAAACAAGACTTCAGTGCAAATTTATACACACACACAAAACATAGCCCCCAGCCTGGGCCAAATTAGCTCTCAGCCGTCCAGAAATGCTTGTAAGGGGGTGGATATTTTCTTCCTAAAAGGAATCAAATACATAAAAATAAATGAATTTAGAGGTTGATGAGTAATGGAATGACAAGAGTCCTCTGTGGGGTAGGAACTGGGGGTTCTCAAAGGGCTGTTTCAAAAGGGTTCTGAAATCTTACGGGAAGTGAGAAGCTAGGGCCTCCAGAAACAAATATGCCAACTCTCCTATTAGCCACCTACTTCATATTCTCATACCCGGGCAAGATAAGACAAGACATAATCTTCATGCTTTCAGAATGGGGCCACTCCAAGTTCAGTTCATAATCCTTCCCCACCAAGGATCACGACAGACTTTGGTCAGTGAGAACCATAGGAGCCTAGTTATTAAGTCTCCATGAGGCTTCTCAGGATTTTTAAGTTTAAATTATGACCCACTCTTATGCTGTATAGCACAGTTCAAAGCTTCATTTGGCTGTTAATTCCTAGACCTACTGCCTTTTGTGCTTAGCTTAGATAGTTACCCAATTATTTTTTATTTTTATTTTTTTGGTACTTTTTTTGGTACTATTTTGGAATAGAACTCACAACCTTGAGCTTGCCAGGTAGGCACTTAAACTGCTAAGCTAAATCCTCAGCCCAGCAGTTACCCAATTATTAAAACCCTAGTAATTTACCCCCTGGAGTCCATACAAGGGTGAAGAATACCAATGTTGCTTCATCCAAATCACCACTAAACTAAGTTGAGAGCTTTGAAGGACAATTCTTAACCCCAATCTCTTAGCAACTGCAGCAACCTTCTTCCCTATGAAAGTCACTGAAAAAAGAATTTATTCAATGATGACTCCTTACTCCCTCCATAAGTGGAACATAGATGTCAGGCATGGAAGGAAGGGATTAGGCTAAGTATCTTTTGGGTCAGTATAAAACCAAAAGATTCCTAGACTTCCCTGCCTGCTATCAGGTGTTCAATGGACCATGCATGAAGCCCAGTCATACAAATGAAGGAACCGTGAGATCCAACTCTCCCAGACCAATTCTTACTCTACTGGGGAGTCAAGATGCTTACTCCTTTCTCTCCATATCTTAGGTCTTCCAGCTAAGGAATAAAACTAAGAGACTGAAGCCAAACCTACCAGAGTCTGCCAGCTAGGAAAGCACTTACCTTCCTGTTCTATGAAATGTCTTCTTCTGTACTATCAGTGACACCTGCCTCCACTGATATCTCAGCAAAATCTTGGAGCCCTGCCCTACTTTTCACCCGAAGTTCAGGCCAGATGACATATCTCTCTCTCTCTTTTTTTTTTTGTCTTTTTCCTTTTTATGGGTACCAGGGATTGAACTCACAACTGCCTGCTTGCAAGGCAGGTGCTTAAGCCACTGAGCTAAATCCCCAGCCCCTCAGATGACATATCTTAATGGCCAATATATACGTCGAGCATTCCTGTCCTGAGAAGCAGACACATGTATTAGTGCCGAGTTCTTCTGCTGGTGCTGCTCCAGGCACTTAAGTTTAGTTAAGCCTTAATAATCATGTTTGAGCAGCATACTCTTGGCCAACCCAATTCGCAAGCACCAAGTCTTTCTCCCTGAAACTCATTCAGTAACATCCCAGAGACCACTAAACCAGGGCCATAAGGAGCTTACCAGTGTTGTATCCATGAGAACCATATCCACTCGGCTGTTGGAAAGGGGTGGCCGATGCATTCACACTGACATTCACACCATGCTGCTTGGAAGAGGTAGGAGCCACCTGAAGAGCGAAAAGGCCAGAACTGCAGTGAAATGTGACATTCACTGTAGGACACCAGATCAGTCCTACTCCAGAGTCTGGGCATTCAGATGTCTACCTAGCCTCATGTAGGCAGGCCACAGTTTTCAATACACAGTGAAATGCGATTCTTACTAAAGTTTTCAGAATCTAGCTGTAAGGGTAAGAGGTAGTTTAGAGAAAGGGAACAAGGGCATTGGAAGCAGGAATCAATGATGGTCTGAGAGAAGCAAAGCTATATGGCATCACATTTTATCACAGACTAATTCTAAAATAGCTAATCCCTATTCTAATTCCACCAATTCCAGATCTACTCCCCTTTTTCAAGGGCAGAAACAGGCCCAAGGTAGAACTGTTCCTCCTTACTTATTAAAAAAGAATCACATGGTTCTGACAGCTAGAGAGTGGCCAAGGCTAGGATTCTTCACCACAAAGGGACCAAGGCCAGGTACTCACAGGGAACACAGCAGGCCCATACTGGAAGGTGCTTGGGAGCCCCGGAACCCCTGTGTAGTATGGCAGGCTGGTATAACTGTAGCCAGGAGGCAGCGCCGGGTTCAGGAATGTCTGCTGCGTGGTGTGGTGAGTCTGCGTCTGGTTCTGTTGGGGTTGGGCCAAGGTTGTGGCCGGAGCTGGGGAGGAGGCATCCCCACGGCCAAACTTTGTGAGGTCACCTGTGACAGGAAAGGCTAAATGTACCTGTTTCTTCTACCCCCAACACCAATGCAGAATTACCTTCTCTAGTTTCACATGATTCCAAGAGGTCCCATTAAGGACTTTTAAAGTTGCATTCCTTGAACTACACTTCTTTGCAGCTATGCTAGTCAAGCCTAATGTTGAGCAACTGTACAATGCTGTGGCAGGAGTGGCTCCCAGAACAATCTGCTGTACAATTTCCCTGCCCACTTTGTTTTCTTTCCTTTCCAACCCTGTTTCCTCCTTGCTCCTCCCATGGGGAATACTCTAGGCTAGACTTGAGAACCAAGTTCTACCTAACATGATCTGGAGTTGCTGCAGATGAAGCATCATGGCCCAGCCATGTGCTTATTAGCATTTGAGGGCCCTACGTTCAATGCCCAGCACAACAAAATAATTAAATGTTTCATCTAGAAATCACCAGTAGACAATAAAAAGTGGGATTTAGAGGAAAAAGCTGTCACATGTCCATCTTTGGCCTGATAAAGACTAAACCAACTTGCATTTTCTATATCCATCCAAACTTCTACAGTGAAATCTTAATTACAGTGAGAACCAGGTCATTTTTTGCTACTAATCTGGTTTCTGCCAATAATTCTTCTATTTAGCCCAACCCAGACCTACCGGAATAAGGGTTGCTGGCCAGGCTACCATCCCTCCCAGTCAGTGGAGTGGTGGGTGTGGGAAACGGGATACTGTAATAATCCTAGGGTGAAGACATAAGAGAGCAGAGAGTCACTCACTGCCATTCTTCCCAGCATGAGGACCACAGGGTGACCAGCAGGAGAATGTTGGAGCCCTGTGTTTCATCCAGCCACTGATTCAGCTGGTTAGAGCTGGCAGAACTCCACATCACTCTGGCATACACTGTCCCCCTTGGCTGACCATGAAGGGTCAGGCAAGGTCTACATATATGCAAATAAGAGAATGTTTTAAGGCCCACATTTTCAACACTCTACACAGCAACCCTATCAGTCTACATCAAGCTTATTTTTAGAAAACATAACTTTCTCAAGTTTCTGAAACACACAGAAAGCATCTTGAGACCTTCACAAGTACTCTCTGGCTTTAAGAGATGAGATTACAATGTGTTTACAGTTATCAAAGATATAACATTGCTGGAGGCACAGATCAATGGTAGAATATTTGCTTAGTGTGCTCAAGGCCCTGGGAGATCCCTTGCATACAAACAAAAAATACAAAATACACATGCCTCTAGTTGCAGCTATCTGGAATGTGGGGTGGAGGCAGAAGAAGGGTCACTTAAACTCACAAGTTCAGGGCCAGTCTGGGCAAGAGTGAAACCCCACCCTCTCTAAAAGGGACGGGGAAGAGCATGTGATATGTCATTCAGTGGTAGAGCATTTGCCTAGCAAGCGTGGAACCATGGGTTTGACCTCCAGCACTACCATAAAAAGATAAAGAGGAAATTGACATTGGTAGTCTATTTGGCTTGGGAGGATAACTCCATAGTAATATCTGCTTAGAATATATAGGGGTTTCAGGCTTCAATTCCCAGCACCAAGTCCCTCCATTCTAATATATGTTAAATCAAAGTATATGTATAAAGGAATGGGCTGAAAAATACTTACATCTCTGACTTATCAACTGCACATTTAAGATAACATTCCCAACATTAAGATCTCTTTTGCCAGGCAGTAATTCTAGCACTCGGGAGGCTAAGTCATGAGGATCACCAGAGTTGAGGTCAATCTGGGCTACATAACGGAGTTCAAGGCCAGTCTGCACTACAAAGTGTGACCCTGTCTAAAAATAAAAATCTTTCTTTTCCAAAGCTCTATTCCACATACTCACCAATGGAAACCTTGTCTGAAGCATTTGCAAGTCATCATAACCATACACTTGTGGCTGAAAAATATAGACATGTAACAATATTAATTGGAACCAGTCAGGATGATAGGAAAACAAGGAGCTTAACTACAGGTAGGGTAATTCAATAGCATATTCACCCTCATTCTTAAACCTGAACAGATCTTTTCAGTTTTCTTTAACAGGAGAAAAGTGAAGTAGAAAAAGTTAAATAACTGATGAAAGGTCTGGGAACTTTACTTAGGTTACACACTACTGATTCAACTAGGCTGGCCTTTGGGCTGTAGCAGCAAAACAGACATAAGTACAAAGAATAGCTGGGCTTTACTCTCTACACAACCAGCTGTCTGTTTCTTATAGATCTTAAAATCTGGCTAAAAATGTAACTCCCCCAAGAAAGAAGGATTCACATTTAATTCTTATTTTCTCTGATTTCTAGATACCAGCATGTTACTGTTTAACAGAATGATAAAGGACGGATAGCCAGGTGTGGTGGCACATGTCTATAATCCCAGCACTTGGGAAGCTGAGGCAGAGAGATCACCTTGAATTCAAGGCCAGTTTGGGTTATACTAACTAGCTCAGCATGAACTACACAGTGATACCCTATCTCAAAAAAACAAAAACACGAAACAAAAAAACGATGGACAGAAGAGGGTAAGAGGCTGGATCTCTTGCAAGAAGAGAAGTGATTCAAGGGAAGAAGAGTGATTGGCAAGAAGGGGGGAAAGGGAAATGAGTAAAGATATGCCTTGTAGAGGGACCTAATAATCTCAATGAATATAAACTTTTTGGGCATAATACTAGCTAAGATTATTATCAACAAGAATGAAAATCGAGCCAGGCATGGGGATCCACACCTATATCCCAGTACTCAGGAGGCTGAGGGAGGCATCACTGCAAGTTTACAACCAGCTTGAGCTACAAAGTAAGCTCCAGGCCAGCCTTAACTGCATAGCAAGACCCTCAGGAAAAAAAAAAAAAAATTTGGGATAGGGTTAACTAGAGGTGGGGGAAGGGCAGATTAAAGCAGGTATGTTATATACATGAATGCAAGATGATTGTAAACTGTGTATATTACAAATATATACTAATAATTTGTGGGGTTTTTTTGTGTTTTTGAGACAGGGTCTCACCATGCAGTTCAGGCTAGTCTTGAACTCACTTTGTAGCCTAGGATGGCCTCAAACTCACAACAACCCTCCTGCTTCGGCCTCCCAAGTGCTGGGATTACAGGCATACACCACACCATGCTCCACTTAAAATTTTTTCAAGGGCTGGGGATTTAACTCAATGGCCTAAGTGCCTGCCCTTGCAAGCACGCAGTCATGAGTTTGATCCCCGGTACCAATAAAAAAATAAAAATTCAAAAAAAAACCCACCTCTTTTGAAAGTTAAAAACCATGTGTAACAGTGCTATTTGGATGCTTCATCTGTATGTTTACCTAGTTTCTCTCCAAGGGCAAGAACAATTTTTTTTTTTTTTTTTTTTAAAGTTGGTACCAGGGATTGAACTCACGACCCCCAGAACAAATGTTTTTAACAGTATTTTTATAAATTTCCTTTTTGGGGGAGGAAATACTGGGAATTGAACTCAGGACATTGCACTTGTGCTGCTGAGCTAACAGCCCTGGTCCATCCTTTAATAGGGTACTGATTTCCTGAAGGTAACATACAGTACTGCCATGACAGAAAGCTACTACTGTCAGCCATTTGTTCTCAGAAAGTTCCAGACTGAGTCAAGGAGCTGTTTTGGCTAGGTTGCAATGGGCAAAGATCCCAAAGGAAGGAAATCAATTCAAGTACAGAAAACAAAAGAAACTGAAAAGAATTCCTGAGGATATCCTGCTCCGACACCTGAAGTCTAGAAGATGTATTTCACACCAAGAAAACAAACAAAAAAGTGCTTTACCAAGGCTTAGTCCTTCCTAAGTATTACTTTTTTCCCAAAACTACAAAGATTAAAAACTGGATATAACTCAGTGGCACAGTGCCTGCCTGGCAAGCATGAGATCCTGAGTTCGATTTCTGGTACCAAAAAAATAAAACCTGTGTTGGCACACATCTATAATCCTAGTACTTGGGAGAGTGAGGCAGGAGGCTGAGGAAGGAAAGTTCAAGGCCAGCCTAGACTACAGATGAGTTCACGGTCAAACTGAATTACAGTGAGATCCTCCCTCAAACATACATACATACATACATACATACATACATAGTTCTTACAGTAGCAATCACTCATTTATTCTGTTTTTAATTTCCATCTTAAACCAAAGCTGTGAAGAGTTGCTACATTACCCTAATGTTTTGGAGAAGACAGCCCTTCAGTTCCACTTACCGGATAGGCATGTAACAGCCCTGGAGCCATAATATACGGATTAGGCAACAATGGCGGGACCCCAGGAGGGAGGTTGGGAGGAGCTTTTCCTAAAACGGAAGTCACATTTTTATGTTATCACACAACTAATCATCTCCTGCATCCCAGTAAAATGCCACCCACTTATGTAAGGCTACCTGAAGTCGTAGCAACTGAGCTTCGAGTTGAGGCTGTGACGGTAGAGTTGCTGCCTAGGCTGAGGCCCAGACTACTGCCACTATTGAGACTGGAAGAGACACTGACCACTGGGGGAGGTGCAGAGACTGTGCTGGACGTGGTAGAGAAAGTGCTAGAGGAAGAATGGAGATTCGCTTCACTCTCCACACTTGTATGCTTCAAAAAGGAGAACAATGGAAAAGAGGAGAAAACAATTAGCAACAAAAGTAAAAAAAAAAAACAAAAACCACACAATCTAACTCTACTAATTGTAATCTCCAAGCCAGCTTCCCAATTAATAGGAGCAAGGCAGGTTACCAGACTGCCTTTGCCAAAGCAGAAAAAATCTAGCCGTATCTTCTGAAGATTCATCTAGCAGCTGGGCATGGTGGTATACACCTGTAATCCCAGCACTCTGTGAGGCTGAGGCAAGAGGATCACAAGTTTGAGCCCAGCCTGAGCAAGACCGTATCTCAAAATAAAATATAAAAAAAAAAGCACTGGGGATGTAACTCACTGTAAAGGCCTAGATTCACTCCCCAGTTTTAAAAAAAAAAAAAAGATTCATCTATCAAATATAGTAATAGAGACTTATTAGACACCATCATCCTGCTTAAATAGCAAAGTATATGAGGACAAACATCCCAGAAACCAACATGACTGGGCAATAAGGGGATAATGAAGATGAGACATAAAAGAATACATTACAAGCTTTTCTCCCACACTTTACTTCACAAGTTCAGTGTACAAGCTTAGTTTACAGGCTAAAAGTAAAGGTTCTGACCTTAAATCCAAAATATTTCTACTTTTGATGACAGACAGACTCATTTTAAAAAAGGCTTATCTCTTTTTGCAGCCACCTGACAAACCTAATACCTTTGCCTAAAATGGTCCCTTCCTTTAGAACTGCAACATATTCCACAAACAGAATCTATAAACTACAACAATGAAATGATTTTACTAAATTTTCTCATCTGGCCTGTTTTCCTAGGAATGTCATATCACACTGATTATATTCAGGATTTAGGTTCAGCATACTGTTGTGTTGGCAAACAACAAGAACAGCTCTACCAGTTATATACGATCTTACAGAATTTATCAGAATATACAAAAAGTTCTGTCTATCATCAAGGAAAAAAATCAGAAAGTCACTTTTGAGGCTTTTGGGAAAGGTCCTGACTTTGGCCTCTCCTGGCTTCCCAACCCTTTACCGATTTTATGTTAACTTCAATTGAATGATTTTACCATCTCATGAAAAGTTGTCAAGGGTTTTGGGTAGTTAAGAGAATTAAGAATCACATTTCCTCTCAGCATCACACTTACCAAGAGAGTGGATGTTGAAGTACGCCCAGAAGAGGTTGATGACGAAAGGGTATTCTGCTGTGTAGATAACGTGCTGCAAGGAAAAATGGTTGTCAACAGTGCTGTGGTGACCTAAATGGCACTTCATTCAAGAACACAACCAACAATGTAAGGCAGGATATAAAGCCATAGAGGTTTGATATCATATAGTATACATGACAGATAGTCAGGAACAGTGAGTAGTTAAGGCAAGAGTG